TTCTCAACAAAGTCTAAGAGAAAAAAAAAACGTCGAAAAAACATTAAAAATGCCTACGGGTGCGACAACTAACGTGCAATTGGAACAATTTGCGAAACGTATGCGTATACCTTTCTTTAGAGGTGTTTTCATGCGCAATAATTTAATTTAATAATTTACGATAAGCGGTGTACGATGAAACGAGAGCGGTATCGTCAATTTGGATGACGTTGATGGTCCCGGTACTCATTGGGTAGCGTACGCAAAGAGGGACGATCGTGTCGTATATTTCGACAGTTTTGGAAATCTTCGACCGCCCAAGGAACTTGTACGATATTTCGGACGAGTGAAAATTGAATACAATTACACATCTTATCAAAATTATAATCAGAGTATCTGTGGACAGTTGTGTTTAAAATTTCTTCAAACGATCAATTTAAAGCCTGACAATCCATCGTCATGACTCAGTATTCGTTCGACATGTCACTGACACTTACGTTGACTGGCAGAAGCAGCGTTCTCGCTGTAAGCTATTTCCCCGCTATAGATTTGACTGATGCCGATTACGAGCTTGGATTAACGGATTTTGAAACTTATCATACGATTCCGAACGTAAATTTTTCGAATAATAAATTTTATTTTGGCAACGACGACACGGAAATTACGATTCCCGAAGGATCGTACGAATTGCACGCCATAAATGATTATCTCAAACGTGTAATTTTGCGAGATGAACACCTTTCCAGAGATGTTGAAAACGATTATGATGAGGAATATCCAATAGTGCTCCGCGCCAATCACAGTACGCTAAAGAGTGAAATCAAATGCGCATACAGAATAAACTTTACCAAACCTAACAATGTACCCATACAGCAAGGAATATGTTAAAGATGTGCTATAAACGTTCTGTGAATATTCTAATATTCCAAGGTTCATTCAGAATATTCTATGAATAATTCTAATATATATAGTATATTTAGGAAATGCATGGAATGTTCTATAAATATTCTGATAAATATAGAATATTTGAAATATTTATAAAATATTCGGTAAATTATCTCAGAATATTCATGAAACGTTTCTAGATCTTGCTATGAACATTTCGATAATATTCTATGAATATTCTGAGAAACATGAAATATTTAGAATATTAATAGAATATGTTTTAAATATTATCTAGAATATTCCTGGAATGTTTTATATACATTTAATACACATTCTAAAAAATATTGAAAATATTCAATTCTATTCTACAAATATTTGAAGAATATTCTTTAAACATTCTATGATTTTATCAAAATCGTCTTCACATTTTATGATTTTTAAAAAATATTATATGATTATAAATCATTTTAAATATCCTAAAAGCGTTCTAAAAATATTGATTCTCAAAAATATATTTAGAAATATGTTTCATAGATATTTCAAAACACATTTTACGAAGATATTAATTTAATTCTTTATAATATATTCAAAGTACTGTACGAAAAATATAAAAATATTAGTAATTTAATTTTCCTTGAATATTTATGTATTATATTTTGAATTCGTAAAATGTCAAATTCGCACCAGACCGCAACAAAAGTTAATTACGGTCTTATTGAATAAAAGAAGAGTGAGTAAGTAAGAATTGCTTCTCGCTTGCCGCCATATGCATGCTGCCTTGTTGCTGCGTGCTACGTGACCGCCGCGTGCCATTATTGTGTGTGCGTCGAAAACCGCTGTTCACGTTAGACTTGTGTAAGGACTTGTGTTTCCTTGGGCACTATTATTAATTAATCCACGGGCATTATTTCGGTGAGTATGAACAAGCTAAAACCTTGCTACAGCTAAATGCTATTTCGAAGGAAGGAAGGAAGGTTATTGTAATGTAATCGTGCGACACATCAAGACTGCAGTTTTATAAAATTATAAATCTAATACTTATGTTAATTGTCATGACTGTCGAGTGATTATCAAAAATATTTAAAATTGATTGCAAATTAATGATAATTTTTTAATATTTCTATATAGATATAAATTTGTAAGATCTATAATTTGAGAGGTTATGAAGTGCAGCACGCGTTTAATTCATAAACATATATATGCCTATTTGTATATACAACTAGACCCAGTATGCCGTGTGTTTACTTATGATATTCAGTGTCTTTGGCAGAACGGAGAGAGGGGTAAAACATACGGAAAACTTGTTCTCCTTTATGCAGGTCAAATCGTCTCTTGACAACGAACTTGACAGCCTATTGTCTATAGTTTAATTACAATCTGGAAGTAAAAATAATTATTATCAATTATTTGTTACGGATATTGATATAATTATTTGATAAGTATGTTTTATAAATCGCGTAGCATGTGTTTAATTATCATGGCAAAATTACAGATTTTATAATTATAAAATATGATTAGAAATCTTATTTAATATATTAAAATTGTCGGCAATGTAATATAATTTAAGGAGAACTTGTATATTTATGTTTCTAATTTTTGTTTCAGGTATTTTATATAAATATTCATAAAGATAAAAATAAACACATTAATAAGGTAATGTACAAATATAATATTATTTGAACATTTTGTAAATTTTCGATTAATTTCTAATTAATATTTGTAAGTTTATATAATCTTATAATTTCAATTAATATTTACAGATAAATATGCCAAAAATAAAAATTAATTCTAAGAGACACTTGAATCGAAAAATAAAAAGCAATGTAGAAGCATCGTTGGCTTTAATTGAGTTGCAATGTCACACTAACTCAATTGAATCACCTGAAATTATTTTTTCGAACAATAAAGTGATAAACAATAAAGATGTAAATAACATAAATATTGGTACACAAAAAAAATGTTCTGACGTTCAGCTAACCAATACATCATTAAGTAAAAATAGTAGCGAAAATATAGAAGAGTTTAATTTTCATGTGAACAATATTGAAGAAAATTGTTTAAATGATATTTCGTTTATTTCACATAATCCTATGGTATTTCCAAATAATGATGACAAAGATAGTGATAGGGACATAATAAATAATAATAATAATTTATCTACTTGCGCTATAAATAAAGGTACATCATTGCGTACAAAATTAGCATCGTGGGCTATTGAGGAAAATATTACTCAAAATAGTTTTAAGAAACTTACAGAAATTCTCCGAAATGAAAATGATATAACTTCATTTCATAATTTACCAAAAGATCCAAGAACAATATTATGTACTCCAAACAATCTTACTTCTGTTAAAATGGACACCGGTTCTTTTTATTACTTTGGGATTGCTCACTCAATTAATGTATTAATTAATCAATGTGGTTTATTCCTTCCTAATGGTACATCTTTTGAATTAGCTATAAATGTAGATGGTTTGCCTATTAGTAAAAGCAGTTTAAATTGTTTATGGCCAATATTAGTGCAAATAATGTCTGTTGAAGTTTTGAAAAAATATGTTTTAATGGTAGCTTTGTATCATGGTAATAGTAAACCAACAAACTCAAATGAATATTTAAAAAATTTTGTAAATGAAGCAATTTATTTGATTAATAATGGAATTGTTATTAATAATCAAAGATATAATTTTAAAATAAAAATTATAATATGCGATTCGCCCGCTAAATCTTATATTTTGAATATAAAAAATCATACCGGTTATTATAGCTGCACTAAATGCAAAGTAGAAGGTTGTTGGTTTAATAACGTATTGTGCTTTCCACAGACAAATATTATAAAAAGAACAAATGTTGAATTTAGACAACTACATGATGAAGATTATCACAAAGGGACAACTATTTTGACGAATTTACCTCATTTTCATATGATTAAAGATGTTACATTAGATTATATGCATCTTATTTGTTTGGGGGTGATGAAAAGATTGCTTACACATAAAAAATATGGTTGGGTTTTCGGTAAACAACCATATAAGCTTTCATATGCGCAAGTAGAATCGATTTCAGATAAAATCGAAAACTTAAAAAAATATATTCCTGTTGAATTTCCACGTAAAGGTAGATCGCTTGGAGAATGTCCTCGCTTCAAGGCGACAGAATTTAAACTCATTCTATTATATACAGGACCTGTAATTTTCAAACATATTCTTTCAACAAATAATTATTATCATTTCTTGACATTACACGTTGCTACTCTAATAATGTGTAGTAACAAATTTTGTAAAAAAATTCATATGCTAAATTATGCAAAAAATCTAATGAAATGCTTTGTTGAAACAAGTATTGATATTTATGACCAAGATTTTGTTTCTTATAATGTACATAATTTGCTACATATACATGAGGATGTCAAACGATTTGGCAATTTAAATGAATTTTCAGCTTTCCCATTCGAGAATTATATGATACAATTTAAAAAAATGATAAGAAAAAGAGAAAAACCACTTGAACAAATAATACGTCGTGTTTCCGAATGTAATAATATTCCAAGATTAGAGAATCACTCTGAAAATAATATTGTCGCCAAAGAACATTATAATGGACCCTTATTGCCAAATTGTTTAGGTCAATATAAAGAATTAAAATTAAAATCATGTATTTTCAAATTAAACACTGCTGATTGTTATGCACAAATGTGTGATAATGACATTGTTAAAATCTGCAACATAACATATTGTAACAATATTATTTGTATTATTGGGCAAACGTTTCTCCATAAAAAATCATTTTTTATGAAACCTTGTGATTCTGCAGTTCTAGATATTTATATTGTAAACCTTGACAAGCTTAGTTGTTTAAAAATATATTCATTATCAGATATTAAATGCAAATCAATGTTATTGCCATATAGAAATAATAATGCAGTAATTTTTCCTCTGTTACATAATGTTGTATAAAGAATTTAATATTTTTAATACTCTTTTATAATAAATTATATAATTTCCCTCGAAAAGTAAAAACAATATTATTGATAAAAGTTTACTGTCACGAATGTTTCAGGCTTTTTATTTTTTTTTCTCAGAGTTCCTATTTCCTTTAAACGATTTTTAATGCCAACTATTTTTATACATGGATTTTTAAATTCAGAAATATGGCATGGTGTGTTTGCCATTTTCAAATAGATGACTCCGTAGAAGTTGTCCCAAATAATTGGATAATTAGTGAAAGTCTATGTGTGTGGCCATTGGTGACAAAACCATCTAAATTATCTGAGCTTATTAAAAAAAAAGAAGTTCCAAAAAATGATTGGAAAACAATAAGTGTCAGAATTTTAGGACGATATGGTAAATATGATACTAAAATACTTTAATATTTAATTTGCAATTTTTAGTAGTTATGTATTGTTTTAGTATATAATTGTGCCTTATATATGTATATTTTTTGTAGACAATTATAAAACAGCTCAAAGAAAATGCAAAACAGCATTAGACAGAGATAATCTCTCGTCACTATCTGAGGCTGCTGAATATGGAAAAGGACTTCGTGGACAGAAACGTAAAAAAATATATAGTGATACGGAAAATACCGATACCGAAAACGAGTGTAACGATGAAGAAGAATTGTCCATTAATTTTCCGACATATAATGCAGATAAAAGTATAGTTTCATCAAAATCGGCACATAAAGGTATGATTAATTAAATAAAATGGTTGTAAAAAATATTGATATTATTTTTCTAAGAAGTGTGTCCTCTTTAGATTCGACTAATACAGCACATAGTAATAAATCGAATAATTACCAATTCGAAGAAAACAAAAATAATCAAAATTCTGACAATAAAATTTTAACTGAGATTCATACTAATTTCCAAAGACATGCAAGTGAAATGAAAGGTAATATTATGGATAATATACAGGGTCTACCAAAAGATTGGAAACCCCTAAATATCTCGGAAAATATACGTTTTACAGAAAAGTGTTTCCAACAAAAGTTGTAGGGTTTAAGAAGATCTATATACTGATTCTATCAGTTTGACCTTGGATGGCGTCGTCAAGGTCAGGTCAAGGTCACATTGACTTTTTTAAATGACACCCCCTACATTTGATTGCATATTCTTATAGCTTAATTCAAGAGCTTTCCAAAACACTATAATAATGTTCATTTTTATTAAGTACTTTGCGAGTTATGAGGGTTGAATGATAGAGTAGCGCCGGTATTAACATTATCCAAGGTGTACTACATGGAGGTTACTCGCTCGGATTTGCATCTGTTGTGTGTGTGATCCAGCTAACTAAGGCAAGATCGGTCGTGGATCCAGTCAGCAAAAGCAAAGACCCAACCAAATTACAATCGAGCATTTAAAGACCTGGAAAGCAATCGACATAGTAAACAGTAAATAAATTTGTGGATGCTCATTTATCATAATAATTGTTCGAAATGTGTGCGTGTGCGTGCGTGCGGTGCGTGTATACAGAGATCAGGTTAGGTTGCACCAAACGATTGCAAATGTGTTTCAATGTGTTAAAGTAAATGCTGAAAGTGGCTGCCATTTACTTCCTGACAATATGCTAATCTTTGGTAGAATGTAGAAATGACTTTACGATTCGTTTCAAAAGGTATCAAAGCCATTTCATCCCTTATTCGCTGTATCAATTCGTGAATGGTTTTAGGTTTTGTTCTGTAAACCTTACTCTTCAGATATCCCCATAGATAATAATCAAGAGGAGTTAGATCTGGTGACCGAGGTGGCCAATCCTCTCCTCCCTCATTTCCGTTCCTTCTTCCTATCCACCGTAGCGGAAAAGTCTCATTTAAAATACGTGGTCCTGCACCAAAATGAGCAGGAGCTCCATCATGCTGAAACCATATTTCTTGGAAATTATTTGGAAAAGTATTCTGTATGGCTGGAATTATTTGATCAACAAGTAATCTCTCATACCTTTGAGCGTTCAAATATTCTTCAAAAAAAAAACGGCCCTATTAAATAGCCATCTATTATTCCGCACCATACATTTATTTTTTGTGGATGTTGTGTGTGAGTTTCCCGCACCCAATTCGGATTCTCATCTGACCAGAAACGAAAATTTTGATTATTAACTTCTCCCGTTAAGGTAAAAGTTGCCTCGTCTGTGAAAACAATTTGATAAGGGAAGATGGGCCGGACATCTATTAGTGCCATCATTCTTTCACAGAAATGTATACGACGCTCCTCATCTCCGTTTTGCAATTCTTGAACGTATTGCAATTTATATGGATGGAACTTGTTCTTCTTTAAAATTCTCCAAACCGACATGGGAGCAATATCGTGAGTTTGAGCGACTCTCTGAACACTAGAATTGGGATCTTCAATAAATGTCTGCAGAACATCAAGTTGTTTTTCTTCGTTGGTTGCAGACAATGGTCTTCCTGACTTAGAGCGATTTCTTACGCTACCAGTTTGTCTAAAACGTTCTATTGTTTTTAACACAGTGGACTTATTAATTCGACGGTTCGGATACGTGTCATTAAATAATCGAACGACATCAGAGAACGATCTTTCGTTATCACCCCATCCACGCATCATGAGGATAGTGATTCTTTCACGTTCCGACAAGTCGCCAGCCATTTTTAAAACGTTTAATTTTAATTAATCGTACGTTGTATTTGGACGATAACAATTAATTTCTGCTTGCTCAAAGCTGAAGTTAGAAGGTGCTCGTTCTTTGATAGCTTTATACATTCTTAGTTGAATTTTAAATGCGAGTTAGACTGCATGTAGTGCGTCACATAGCGGTAAATGAAGGAACTAACGAGACGTTTCATACACGTTTTATGGAGCAATTTTTTGGCAATTTGACTTCAGCGAAATATGAGGATATGTTGAGGAATCGATCTTGCCTTAGTTAGCTGGATCACACACACAACAGATGCAAATCCGAGCGAGTAACCTCCATGTAGTACACCTTGGATAATGTTAATACCGGCGCTACTCTATCATTCAACCCTCATAACTCGCAAAGTACTTAATAAAAATGAACATTATTATAGTGTTTTGGAAAGCTCTTGAATTAAGCTATAAGAATATGCAATCAAATGTAGGGAGTGTCATTTAAAAAAGTCAATGTGACCTTGACCTGACCTTGACGACGCCATCCAAGGTCAAACTGATAGAATCAGTATATAGATCTTCTTAAACCCTACAACTTTTGTTGGAAACACTTTTCTGTAAAACGTATATTTTCCGAGATATTTAGGGGTTTCCACACTTTTGGTAGACCCTGTATATACATATATATATTGTTACGTCCCTGGTTCGAGTCGCGATCGAGTCCGATTTGAGAAAAGAAGAAGCCCGTTGTTGACAGCAAGAGGTTGTTGACAGCAGCGCCTGTCATTTGAGTCTGGTCCCAGCTGTCTAGCTGTGCGGACACGTTTTTTTCCCGAGCCGATCCGTTGTGCTATTTGTGTTATTAAGGGGGGAACCTCATGTAAATAGCCTGTTTTTCAGGAATTTTTTTTGAAAAATGTAATGCGTAGATTAATTTGCAATTTAAGGCACAATTTATTTACGTTATAATATTTAAAGAAAATATTTTTTTAAGACTAATCGTTAACAATAAAATGGTGCAATGGCGGCTTGAAAACAGCGTCTTGAAAATGCGCCGTGCAGCATGCAGGTCACAAAAATGATCTGAAACAAAAAATACAAAATGGGTTCTTTAGTTTATGCAAAAACGCTCAGCATGACGGTCCCCTTTTATTAAAATTTGCAAATTTGCAAAAATGGCGAAGTTTTGAAAAAGAAAAAGGATTTTCTTTTATAAACAATTGTTAATAACAATGTTTTAAATAAAAAAATTAAAAATCGGAGCTCGTCATGCTGAGGCCAAATATCTATAGAATTTCTATACCAAATTTCATAAAGATCGAATGATTAGTTTTTGAGCTACATTGCACGGCGTGCGAAATTTTGCGTTTCGAGAAAAACGCGTTTAAAGTTTGAGTAATAGAAAAATCGTGAAAAAATTCGTAATTCGTTCTAACTTACCGCAGTTTTTTGCTAATCTGCGATTCCAGGGCCATAGAGTAGACCTTCCTCTTCTTCAGACTGACTTCGAACTACATGTTTTGCACACAGAAATATCCACAAAGGAACCGAAAGGCCGATTGTCCGACGAGCGCTCGACTATTTGAGTGCTCCGCCCAATTCGACTGTTTACTTTCTTTTGAAAATAAAGTACAAGGAGCTCTCGGATCACTTTCTAACTTTTTTTCTCGTATTTTTGAAGAAATTTCCTATCAATTTAAGCAAAAAAATAAAATGGCTAAAAAATTTCATTTTACATGAGGTTCCCCCCTTAACGCATGACGGGTCGGATATAAGAGGCAGGCAAGGATGACGCGATTCACTGTCAGACGCGGGCGCTTACGCGGGGCGCCTGCTGCGATCAGCTGGTCGCTATACACATACAGATACACATGCGAACACATACATTCTCTCTCTTGTTTTTTTGATACGCAGGAGAAATGCCTTATGCATACCCCTCTCCTCGGGGAAGGAAAGGGGTTATGTCGGACTTGCACCGACTAAAACCCCTGCGGGTGTCCTCCACCGCGGTGTCACGGGGGGGCCACGGGCACGCCAAGGGCATTCTTCCGCGATCCCCCCACCGCCATTCCTCCACTGTAGCTGGGAGGGAGGACACCCGTCCGCCTCCCGGCTCCGTCTAATAGAGTTCTGTCCCGGTGGGAGATCTCCCCGCTCCACACCAGGGCCCCCTCGCCACGGCCCCTGAACGGGGCCTCTTTTTATGCCGTGGTGGGGGGAGGGAGGGGGGAACCTTCCTCTCACTCCCACCTGTCCGCCAAGCCTGCAGTGAAGGGAAGAGTGGGTTTTGACAAGGCCCCTCCTCTCATTCAGTCCCTGTCCAGCGGTGGGACCGGAGGCCCAATCAGCCTCCTCCTCCTCCGTCGGGTCCTCCTGGCCGCTGCTCTTCTCTGTGCTGCCATTGGGGCGGACATCATTCGCCGATCCCTCTCCGCCTCCTCCTTGCTCCGCATGACCTCGCAAAAGGAGGCCACTGCCCGCCACTCCTCCCCCCCCCTTAGCATCGCCTCAATGACGGCGCCGAGGGAGAGAGGTCAGCTCCCACCACTGCGACCAGGGCACGGCGCTGCACCTCCCAGGCCGAGCAGGCTGCGAGGGTGTGCTGCGCCGTGTCCCGGTCCTCCTCGCAGTGGTGGCACCTGGGGGTTGGTTCCCTTCCGATGTGGCACAGGTAGTGACCGAAGCACCCGTGCCCGATAACCACGGCCAGTTGCCGCTGCCAGTCCACGAGGACCGAGTCTGCCGCCTTCAACCTCTTGGCCCCCGGCCCCACCATAATTCCCCCCCCCGGAGCTCTCTAATCCCCCAGTACATCTCGGCCCGAGCTTAGGCCAGGAGCTCCAGGGGAGGGGACCCCGCCAGCACCATCACCGCCGCATATGCGACCGCGCGGTCCTTAAAACTATGGGGCGGTGTGCCCCCCGCAGTACGCCCCTGATCTTGTTGGATCCCGAGGCAGCACCCGCCCAGATCGGTGCCGTAAAGAGCCACCGATCCGACCGTGTCCACATAAAGCTTGCGGATACGGCCGTCCGGCCCCCCCAGGTTGGGCAGCAGCCTCGCCAGCGAGGACGCTATTCCGCCTATCCTGGGGGCCACCTGGGCAAAGTGCTCCTCGAAGGTCCACTTTCCGTCCAGATGGAGACCCAGATACTTCATCCGGGTCCCCACCTGGACGTCGTGCCCGTCCACCTTAAATGTGAGCCTGGGGGGGGGCCCGGGAGCCGTCATGGAAAAAGACGGCCTCTGTCTTCCGGAGAGCTACCCTCAGGCCCAACGCCTTTATATGGACCACCCCGGCCACTGCGATGTTCCCCCCGCGGTCGCGTCCCTCCAGTCCTTCCCTCCAACTACCACCAGCGTGTCGTCCGCATAATAGATGACATGGCAGCCGGGGGGAAGGACCCTCCCCAATACCTCATTGTACGCGATGTTCCACAGCAACGGGCCCAGAACGGACCCCTATGGAACACCGCGCACGACGGGCCACTGCCTACGTACCCCCTCGGCATCGCGACAGTAGATACTCCTCCCCATGAAATAGTCCTAGATTACCCTGACAGATAATCCGGGACTCCGTGCGCTCGTAGCCCCGCCCCTATCATGTCCCACGGGAGGGTGTTAAAAGCGTTGGCTATGTCCAGGGACACAGCCAACGCCACTCCCCCGTGCTGGACTATCTGTTCCGAGCGGGCCCGCAGACCATCCATCGCGTCGATGATCGACCGGCCCGTACGGAACCCGAACTGGGACTCGTTGAGCCCCGCAACCTGTTGCAGGTGCTCATTGAGCCGCCCCACCATTATCCGCTCCATCAGCTTACCGACCTTATCTAAAAGACAGAAAGGTCGGTAAGCCGTTGGATCGTCGGGGTTCCTCCCTCCTTTCGGAAGGAGGACTAGTCTCGCCTCCTTCCAAAGAGAGGGAAAGATCCCCTCTCTGAGGCATCTCATAAAGAGGTACCTCAGGGTCCCGCCAGCTTCCCCCATGACCAGGGCCCAGATCTTACCCGGGATGCCGTCCAGATCGGGAGCCTTATTCGGCTTCATCCTCCCGGACAGCATCCCGCATCTCCTCCGCTGTCACCTCCCAGCACTCCCTCCACTCGAGCATACGGTCCGAGAGGGGGAAGGGCACTGCGCCCCCTGCTCTCCCGGGGAAGAGGGTCTCCACTACCTCCCCAAGCCGGGGGCCAAAGACTCCGTGGTCGGAGGCGCCCGCCGCCTCAATTTCTTGAGAACTATTCTGTACGGGCGCCCCCACGGGTCCTCGTTCAGGGAGGCGAGCTCCTCCCAGGCCCTGGTCTTGGACCTCCCGATGGCAGCGCCGAGGGAGCGTCGGGCATCCCGACACTCTCCCCGCGCCCGCTCAATATAGGCCTCGCTACGGTTCCTCCTTCGCATACATCTTTGAAGTCGGCGTCTGGCCCGGACCGAAGCATCGCGGAGATTCGCGATTTCCTCGGTCCACCAATACGCCGATCTCCTCCCGCATCCTCTCCTTACCTTTGGCATCGAGGCGTCGCAGGCTCCCCAGAGAGCACTGCGAAGCCTTGATGCTAACTCCTTCACTCCCTTTCCCTCCCACGCCAGAGGGTCTTTCCTCCAGACCCATAGCGAGACCTGCATCGAGGCCATCAAGAGGTCCGGGTTCAGCCTGGTGAGGGACCACCTACGCTCCTCCCGTGAGTCCGGCTCGGTGGGCGGATGTCGGGCGACCAAGCTGAGCTCAATATACCTGTGATCTGACAGGGCCTCGAGCTCAGCGGCCTCCCCCACTATGCGCAAAGCCGCAGGAGAGGCCCACGTCAAATCGACGATGGACTCCCCCTGCGGCCTCACGCATGTGGCGACGGACCCGACATTGAGCAGGGTCAGCCCGAGTGATCCCGCCCAATCTCGCAGCGTCTCCCCGCGCCGATCCTCGGACCGGCAACCCCAACTCCGAGATTTGGAATTGAAGTCGCCCATCACGAGGACCGGCCCGGAGAGGCCGCTCCTCACCGCCTCGTCTACCTCGCCGAGCTCGGCCTCAAACTGGGCCAAGCGAGGGAGGGAGGTATACGCCTATAACGCAGGTGGTCCCCCATCACACCATCGCGAAGTGCCGACTCCTGGTCTCCATCCTGCAGGGGGGCGACCCTTCGTCGCCCCCCCGCACGATGGCTACCAGCGGGGCAGCTCCTCCCAGGCACCCCGCCGGAAACCAGGACGGGTAGTCGGAAGGGGCGCGTACTCCGCGTGGCTCCGACGCCACGCCCAACCCACGCACAACCGCGCTTCGCCATTGTGTGCAGAAAAAGATCCTGCGCACGGCGGGCGTGATTGAGGTTGGCTTGTAGGATAGATAGGGCCGCTGGCTTACCTTTGGCTATCAGTGTCCCCTATCTTCATTTTCTCCTCCGCTGCCTCCTTCTCTCCTTCCTTCTCCTTCCCTCCTGTCCCGCTCCTCAAGGGCCGCGGCATTCCTTGCGGCTGCTGCTGTTGCTGCTGTTGTCGCTGCCGCTGCTGCTGCCGCTGTTGGGGCGCCTCGGCTCCCGCTCCCCCCTCCACCTTGTCCCTCCACGTGAGGGTGCAGCGGAGGTCGGCGGGACCCGTCCCAATGGAAGTCCGCAGCTGACTCCTCCTCTACGATGATCCGCCTTCTTCCCCACCTCCGCGCACGACAGGCAATAAGGGGCCGCCTGGCAGGATGCAGTCGTGTGGCCCACCGTACCTGTAACAGGTGCGGGACCTGTCCTCGGCGCTCTTGCACCTGGAAGCCACGTGTCCCTCTCCACAGCACCTAAAACAGTGGGTGGGACGCGCCGCTGCCAGTTCCACCCTGGCGGTCGTTCACCCTATTCTTATGCGGGCGGCTTTGGCCTGGTCATCCGCCGCTCTGACAGGGCAGCGGACCCAAGCTACCCCCATCCCGTAAGTGGGCCTGCTAATGAAGGCCCTTATTTCTTCGAGCCTGGCCACCCCCCTGTCCGCGATGGTAACAATCACCTCCTCCAC